TGACCCACCTGGCACACCTGACCCACCTGGCACACCTGACCCACCTGGCACACCTGACCCACCTGACTCACCTGGCACACGTGACCCACCTGAGGCGCTTGGAGTGGCGCACCCTCTCCTGCCGGGGTGGGCTGTGGACGAGTGGGTTGAGGCTGGAGGTGGGCAGCAGCACCCGCACCCCGTCATCACCCACCTCTGAGTAGATGTCCTCCAGGATCTGGGGTGAGGGTGATGAATGGGTGATGATTAGGTGGTGATAAGGTGATGATTAGGTGATGATTAGGTGATAAATGTGATGATTAGGTGATAAATGTGATGATTAGGTGATAAATGTGATGATTATGTGATGAATGGAAAGATTGTGTGATGAATATGTGATGATAAATGTGATAGGTACCTATTTGTCATAGATGTGATTAATGTGAATATAATGTGCAGAATGTAATAAATGTGATGATAAAGTCACTGCTCACACCCCTGNATGATATGGTGGTTGGGTAAAACCCAGTACAGATGGCGGCATGGTACTATCGCAATACTATGCTTGCATGTATGGCTGTCTCTTATACACATCTAGATGTGTATAAGAGACAGGCATACACCCTCGTCCTGTGTGATATACAGGGGCTATACAGGGCGTGAAGCATACACCCTCGTTCTGTGTGATATACAGGGGGTATACAGGGGAGTATACAGGGGGTATACAGGGGAGTATACAGGGCGTGTAGCATACACCCTCGTCCTGTGTGCTATACAGGGCACTATGCAGGGGGTGAAGCCAACACCTTCATCCTGTGTGATATACAGGGTTGGTATGTGCATACAGTGAAAAATATAGCCATTTAACACAATGTAGGTGGGCAAGGTATATCAGATGAATGGATGGAAGAAATAAAACATGGATGAAGTGCATTTGAAATTTTTGCCATTTTGCAAGTCTTTTAAATCTAATAGAAATTATTTGGCTTAAATATTAAACATCAAGTCTTTAAATGCTGAAATATTGAACATTTCCGGCAGCACCCGGAAATGTTACTAAATATAAATTTCATTTTATCCGTGTTGATGGATTTAAAATATTTGTTCAACACAAGAATTCAGTTAATATATAGCCTGAATTTATCTCTATTTCAGAAATACAATATAATTAAATCATGTTAGTTTACCTACATAAACTCTTCAGAATCACTTGAAAAATATCTCAGCTTGTATACCTGGAATTTACTTCCCATATAACGTGATAATTTTACCATACAATAGGTAGTTAAATCTTAGTCAACATATTCTTTTTAACTCTTTAAAATAAACTCTTTTTCTGCTTGCTTAAAATTTAGAGAATAGCACAAAAATTCAGTGCAAATTTCTCAGTTCTCTTTTATCGAAGAAAAAACATTCAAATTTGTGCTATTTTCTTTGATTTCAAATTCTTGGTACCGGTAGGTATATTGTCAATTAAAGCAATCAATTGATCTTAATATCAAGATGCCAGAATTTACTTATAATTCCAATATAATAATCAAAGTTTAAAGTATAATATTTCATCTTTATAAACCAGTCCTTGGGAAAATAATTAATCCCAATAATTAATTACTAATAAATAATAAATAATTAATAAATAATTAATACTGTATTAATAATTAATACACAAACAGGAGGTGAAGCATATGCCCTCGTCCTGTGTAATATACGGGATAATATACAGGACTATACAGGATATTATACAGGGGACTATGCAGGGGGTGAAGCCTGCACCTTCACCCTGTGTGATATACAGGCACTATACAGGGGACCATACAGGGCACTATACAGGGGAGTATACATGGCGTGAAGCTCTGACTTTCACCCTGTGTGATATACCAGTACAGGGCACTATATTATTTCTACTATGAGATTTTCCAAAATTCTTGTAGAATAATTTAACAATGAAATTTTATCTTTATTAGTAGATTTAAATATGTACTTCAACACAAGACTTCATCTTGCATAACCTGAATTTGTGTCAATTACTTAAATATAAGATAATTAATACTATATAAGAACTAAAAAATATCTGTTTGTATACCTGGAATTTACTTCCCAACTAATGTGATAATTTCACCATATACAATATTTGAATCTTAGTAGACATTTTTCTTATTAAGTCTGTAAAATAAAATGCTAGCTTTAATTAAGAAATCAGCTCAGAAATTCAGTAAAAATTTTACGTTCCCTTAACTGCCTTCAACTGAATTTAGAATCAATAATGGAGCTGCACTTAGAAATGTTTTCAATGCTAACAAAATCTCAAAATTTGTGCTATTTTCTTTGATCTCAAATTCTTGGTAAATCAGCAATTTGAGCAATCGATTGATCTTAATATTAAGATTCCAGAATTTACTTACTTTCAATTCCAACATAATAATAAAAGTTTAAAGTAGTATAATAGGTATTTTATTTATTTTTATAAACCAATCTTTAGAAAACTAATCAATGTTAATAATTAATTACTAATAAATAATTAGTAAATAATTGATACACAAATAATAATAAATTAATTTAATAATGATTTAATTGATACACAAATAATAATAATAATAATTAATACACAAAATTAAAACATCATATAGTGTACCTGGAACTCGGCCGCGACCTCAGCGTAGACGGTGCGGCGCCGCAGCTTGGGGTCCAGCAGCAGACGCTTGCGCTGCTGCACCTTCTGCAGCAGCCGCTGCGTCAGCTCGTGCGTCCACAGCCGCAGCGGCCAGCCTTATATATGAATAATAGCTGTATTACTATGTAATAAACTATATACAAGCACATTTTATATGTAATATACATATTATTTAAATTACCAGCCCCTTAAAATCAATAATAGCCGTATTACTATGTAATAAACTATATGCAAGCACATTTTGTATGTAATAATGCATATTATTTAAATTACCAGCCACTTAAAATGAATAATAGCTGTATTAATATGTAATAGATTGACTTTATACAAGCACAGCTTATATGTAATAATGCATATTATCTAAATTACCAGCCTTTTAAAATGAATAATAGCCATATTATGTATAAGATAAACTATATAAATGCACAGCTTATAGGTATGTAATAATGCAAATTATTTAAATTATATTGACATGCCACTGAACAATAGATATTATAATTCTAATCATTTTTAAAAGGTAAATTAAATTTCAATTTTCAATAGAGGGCTGTTATAATCATTTATATGATGTCCTATATTAATAAACATGTTAAAAATCCAATATAATTCATATAGTACAAGAATTACCAATAGCTATGGAGTAATTACATTTTCCATGATATTTATTTGTACAGCTATTTCTGGAGTAAAGAAAAAATAGTTTTTACAACACTTTATTCCTCTAATCACAATGATTCTAGAAATATTTATAATAAATAATAAAATTAATAAAAATAATCTTTTTAAATAACAAAATCTTGATGTTTTTTCAAAATCTTGGGGGCAGAACCTAGCAAGCTCACCTGCTGCTCCGCTCCCTGTGCCACCTGAAAAATATAAGGATTATGAAAAGAATTAATTTCAATTATTATTATTATTTTTATGTGATTGTAATTACTGATCTGAAAAAATTATTGTCAATAGTAATAATGCATGTAAAATAGAATAATATGTATTTGATATTTATGACATTGTAATTATTGATCTGAAATAATTATTGTAAATAGTAATAACACATGTCAAATAAAATAATGTATAAATATAAATATTTAATCCCATATCATACCTTGGTCAGCTATCATACCTTAAAATAATAAAAAGTATTTATTTCAATTATTATTATTTTTATGTGATTCTAATCACTGCTTTGAAATAAATATTGTAAATAATAATAACACATGTAAAATAGAATACCAGTAATATAGATATGTATATAAATATTAAATACCGTTAAATATTTATTTAAATAATACCATTAAAATAATCATACCTTGGTCAGCTGACGGCTGAGAACCGCCCTCATCACCTGCACCTGCTTCAGCAGATGCAGGTTCCTGCATCTGTTCATCCTGCATCTGCTGTTGCTGTTCACTCATCATTGCTATTTTCAATTTTATTTGCTGTTATTTCACTCAATGATAGTTCACAATTATATGGTGAACTGTTATGTTATTCAATGTTGAGAAATTGTACAAAAAATTCAAATAATCAAGTCTCATAAACAATAATAAGACAATATATACAATTGTTAATAGCTAATAAAGTGTCAAAGTTGTTTAGTTTTTTAGAACTTGATATTTTCACATTCTTACAACTCAAAAATTTTCAATTTTTCACTTCTGAAAATGTTTCAAATTTGTTTCAATTTTTCCCTTCTCAAAATGTTTCAAATTCTAACAATTCCAAACTTTTTGAATTTTTACAACTCCAAATTTATTCAAATTTTTACAATTTAAAATTTTTCAAATTTGTAAAGTCAACTGCTCTGAACAATTCACAAACAGAAATGTGTTAAGATATTCCAATGGTAGAAATTCAATTGGTCAGGTTTAAATCATTCTTATCATAAGAATTAGGTTTAGAAAAAAATTTAATTAAATAATAGGTACATATAAATAATATCTGTAATATCTAAATGCTTTTTTCTAAGAGACATTTCATCATAATGATAAGATTTTGATTAAGTATTATTCTACTATCAAGAAAAATATTTTTCAATGTTCAAGATTCATTAGTAAATGAAGTTTAAATTAAACAAAAAAGCTTGATGACAAGAATTCTCCCTAAATATACCTTCATCTTTTTCTGCATGGCATAGTTGTGGAGTTAGAATAATTATTTGAATAATATTTTCTGGTAAAAAATTAGTTGTATGTATAATTTTTTATACATCAATAACTTTATATTTATATTATTAAATTCACTACCAGATCATATTTTATTATTTCAAGTTGTACAGGAGTCAAATTATATATACAACATTCAATTTGAAAGCATTTCTACCAGTTTCAACCATTTAATTTCTTGGCTGTGGCATGAATTTGAGAAAAAAATTTCAGGATATTAATAAAATATAACATACTAAACAATGCATAAGTATTAGACATTTAGACTGTGAAATCTGAATGAAGGATAAATAATTATGTTTATATGAATGTTCGTCCCCAGTGCACGTGTTGCTTCTCTTTCTAAGCAACTGTAGCCGTCAATATTGCAGGTCAAAGAACGTTTAGACAAACGTGTGATAACAAAAACGTTACTTTAATAATTGGGTTTCCTTGATTTCACGCGTAAATCCCTAGTCTGGGACGGACCTTATGAATGTTGTCCCTTCTAAATTGCCGATTGACAAAAATACAAAATTTCGAAGATAATAAATAAATCATAATAAAATTTATTTGAATAATAAATGTTCATGTCAACATAGTAATAAACTGCACGTGGACAATCGCCTGCATGTACACGCCGCTCTTACTGCACACGAACATTTTTTACGAAATTTCGACCCGGCGCACCGATGTTTCCACAAACTCAATAAGTCAGGCGATTTTTTTTAAATAAAGCATGAATTAACTATGCTAAATTATACCACGGCAGTTAATATTCACTAATAAGATTTATTACGTACGATGAAAGGCGCACAATATCCAATTAAGAATGATTATTTACTAAATTTTACACAATGAACGTGCTTTGTCGGTTCCCATGATCATGGCGTCGCGTCGTTCACACAAAGAAAGATGGCGTGTCCACTTGTGCTTCTTCTATGACACCATTGAAAATCATCGAGTTTCTCGTAAATAATCTAGATAAATTCAAACCAAATTCCAATAAAGAGCAATGAATGATCAGAATTATATTTATTTTCTGATTCGAACACAATTTCCCCACATGTAGTTAAAATAATCAGCGAAACAAATTCTGCAGCCATATTGGTTCTTTATTTCTACCCTTGAACGTGCTTCAGGAATTAATATCTTAGCTTCTCATCCATCAAAGTTGCAGCAGAAAGAAATTTCGTTCATATGACCACATATTTCACAGCAATATAATTATGAAATCTTTTCCCTGAATAAGTTTCTTCGATAACATTAATTAAATAGAAAGAAGGCACAGGAAACTCACAGCGTTCACTTGCCGAACATGGCAACAGTAATGACGCCTAGAGCACCACAAGGACGCGACCTTCAACAGTATTCACGAAAAATATTATTTTAAGTTAATTTCGAAAATAATGATTCGATAAATACTTTGAGTAGCAGTATAATTTGAGTTTATTGTTATGATTGAAAATATTTGTAGATTCTTTATTCAATTTAAATTATTTGACAAATGAACACTTATTGTAGCAAAAATATGTTAGTTTATTGATCACAATTCGTCTAATAAAGCTACACTGTTCATACGAACCAAAAACAAAATTAGTTACTAGAAAACTATGTTTCTCATTGATAACCAATACAATTTATCGTTTTGCTCACATAACAGCGTTTGGGATCTGCAAAAGCACCACTTATTTTTCTCAGTATACTCACGTTTGCTACATGTGTCAGAATTTCTGGGTCAGATATTCACTTCCCTGCGCGTACGTTCACGATGAATGGTTGGAAAAAACTACTTTCACTGCAATAACAACTTTAATATAATAAGATTAACTGTACATTCATGAATCAATATTTTTAATGTGTATGCACTCGATTCGAATAAGCTTTTGTGAAAAAAATATGATATATTTATCACGGTAAGCTGTTATCTATTTCGGTATGTCATGGATCTTGATTTATGGCTTGTTGAAAAATTAATAACCGTTGAACTTTATTCAGAAAAATTATTATAATTAAAGTTTTTTTATTAAAAATTCCGGTCGACATTTATTACTTGAAATATTTCAAGGACATAGCTTTTATATAAGATATTTTATCGCAGCTTTGTATGTCGTTTTCACATTCAGCAAAAAATAAAGCGTTTACAAATTGACGTTAGTAACGTTGTCGTGTAAATCTCGTGAACGTTTTAATTTTTTCTCGCTTCGAATCACCGACATGTGGAACAGCCTCCCCGATGACATCGTTGGCGCTCCAAGTATGAACGCGTTCAAGAACAGACTAGATAAAGCTATGGAAAAATATATGTTCAGAGTTGAAATGCCTAGCACCATGTCGAACCCGGTGTAAGTCGAGTAGCTACTTCAAACTATCGTCAGTCATGAAAAGATCCGGTCAAATGAAACGATATTAGATCTTCTGTGAACAAGGCAGGAAAAGGAAAAGAATCGGCGACAGGCCACATCAGGCCTACGCTTCAGCGCCGAGATCAGTATGTTATGTCATGTTACAACGTCGAGAGTCTTGTGAACGTTTTACAACGTCGAGAGTCTCAAGAACGTTTTAATACGTCAAGAGTCTAGAGAACATTTTACAACGTCGAGAGTGTAGAGAACATTTTACAACGTCGAGAGTCATGGGAACGTTTTAAAACGTCGAGAGTCTCGAGAACGTTTTATAACGTCAAAAGTCTAGAGAACGATTTAACGTCGAGTCTTGGGAACGTTTTATAACGTCGAGAGTCTATAAAAGAACGTCTTACGGCGTCGAGAGTCTCGAGAACGTTTTATAACGTCAAGAGTCTAAAGAACGTCTTATAACGCCGAGAGTCTAAAGAACGTTTTACATCGTCGAGAGTCTAATGAACGTTTTATAACGTCGAGAGTCTAGAGAACGTTTCTATAACAAATAAGACTAAAAATGCAATACATGTATAATAAATTACTTCGTAAAACAAAGCAAAGACGCACGTTTACAGTGAAATTCTTTGTATGAACACATGGAAAGGTAATTGTTATTAAAAAACAATAAAACTAATTTAATTACGGTTTGTTTGTAATCACCAGTAAAGGCCATCAACTGTGTGAAATAGTCGTTTAAATTAAACTTCATTTTTTCATTAATTAAATAGTTATACTAATTCTGTTTTTAAATAAGGAAACGTGGTATCATTAGTAAACAAGTGTTATATGGGAGCAAGTTTTTCTTGCTGTACAAAATTAAATTCTAAATTAAGAAAATTAAAATCAGTAAAATTCTTATGGTAGGAATAGCATTATGGGTAAGCGGACGCGTGTGCCGGCATGACAGTAAAGGGTTAACCACAACTCTGGTAGGAATAACATTAATAACACACATACTACGTGCCACCATGAAGGGGTAACTCAAAAATTTCACCGAAAAGCGTCAGACATGAAGCTTTTATCCCGCAATTTTACCCGCCATTTTCTCCTCTATAATTTTAAACAATTACCTCGTCCCTCCTTCTTTGTGGGGGTAATGCATTAGCTATACACCCCTAAACCCTCCCCCTCCCTCATCCCCAAGCCTACATGATTGATGCCACTTTAAGACTCCAAAAATTTGTACTATTTTAACACGTGAATATTTTCAATACAATAAAATATACACAGACTTGATCAGGAATAGAACAAAGAGATGTTTCTACTCTCTTTTATATAGTGCTATTTTTAGCCAAGTTGTGAATAAAACCATCCCTGTCTATACCGCCATACATATTGCCTTATTCATAATACTATTCTTACCAGTATAGACCATTATAATAATACCGACCTCGTCATGTGTTCAGTCACTTAGCACGAGTAAGGTACGCTTTGTTTCAGGTGCGCTTAAGAAAATCGTAAAATTCCTATTAAAATGGAGCGCTGACAAAGAATAATAATTTTCGCCCCATTATAAGAATGTGAAGTCAATGGTTTATGTGCAAGAATGTGTGGTAGCATCGGCCGGCCCATCAGTGGCCAGCAGGCGTCGCGGGACAGCGAACATCCTATCGACGTGCTTCAAGAAACGGTATGGCATTTATGTGTGAAATATGGCATTTATAAGATGAATGTGGAATCTATAAGGTAAATGACGTATTACAATTTAAATACGTCCCTCCTTCTTCGTGGGGGTAATGCATTAGCTATACACCCCTAAACCCGCCCCTCCCTCATCCCCAAGCCTACATGATTGATGCCACTTTAGGACTCCACACATTTGTACTATTTTAAAGCGTGAATATTTTAAATTCAATAAAATATCCACAGATTTGTTCCGTAAAAAAACAAAGAGATATTTCCACTCTCTTGCCTATAGTGTTATTCTTACCTAAGTTGTGAAGAAAACCTTTCCTGTCTATACCGCAACACATATTGCCTTATTCGTAGTACTATTCCTACCTGCACAAACCATATTAATAATGCCGTGTATATAGTGCTATTCTTACCTACGTTGTGAATAAAAACTTACCTGTCTACACCGCTACACATATTGCCTTATTCGTAACACTATTCTTGCCTGAAATGCGAGTTTCAGGTAAGAATGCCGATTTTGTCATGTGTTCAGTCACTTAGCATGATTGACGTACGCTTTGTTTCAGATGCGCTGAAGATAATAATAGAATGCACATTAAAATGAAGCACTGTCTTAAAATAAAAATTATCGAGGTCCACTTGCACTGAAGAAAATCGTAAAATTCCTATTCAAATGGAGCATGGACAAAGAATAATAATTTTCGCCCCATTATAAGAATGTGAAATCAATGGTTTATGTCGAAGAATGTGTGGTAGCATCGGCCGGCCCATCAGTGGCCAGCAGGCGTCGCGGGACAGCAAACTCCCGCTGGACCTGCTTAATAAACGGTAGTTATGGCATATATGTGGCATATATGGCATTTACAAGGTGAATGTGGTATCTATATGGTAAATGGTAATGATTTAAATTGGGTATCTATAAGGTAAATATTAATGATTTAAATGGGGTATCTATAAAGAAGGTGGGGTATTTATAAGAGGAATGTGGTATCTATAAGGTAAATGTGGTATTTATGATTTAAATGGGGTATCTATAAGGTAAATGTGGTATTTATATGATGAATGTGGTATCTGTAAGGCAAATGGGGTATTTATAAGATGAATGAGGTATCTATAAGGTAAATGGGGTATTTATAAGATGAATGAGGTATCTATAAGGTAAATGTGGTATTTATATGATGAATGTGGTATCTGTAAGGCAAATGGGGTATTTATAAGATGAATGTGGTAGCTATAAGGTAAATGGGCATCTATAAGGAATAATATGCGTTTAAAAATTACTTTTTAATTAAATACAACACTTCTAAAGAATTCAGTGTCTGCGATGTTACAAATGTAGAAGTTCTAATTTTAATATCATATATTAAAAAAGTAATTTTTATTTTTATTTTTAAAATTAACATAAATAAATTTTTTCATAATTATTTATTCTGTCAATTGAATCATGCATTGCCACCAACTTTACGCATGTGTGCAAAATTTCAGATCGATTGTAGAGGTAAAAGTGTGTTAAATATCGATTATAAGATTTGTAGCAGACAGACAAGAAGTGAAGTTAAAGAGAAGTGTTGTAAAATAGGGTATTTATGATTTAAATGGGTCTCTATAAGATAAAATTAATATAGTATTTATACTTGAAATGATGTATCTATTAGGTAAATGGGATTTCTATAAGGTAAATAAAGTATTTATAATTTAAATGGGGTATCTATATAAGGTAAATGTGGTATTTATAATTTAAATGAGGTATCTATAAGGTAAATATAGCATTTACACAGTACACAAGATATTTGTAGGTACATTACAGCACTCTCAGAAAAATAAATTGTCTATTGTCCAAATAGTACGTAACTAACTTTCTTACCCACAGCACGAGCAGGGAGCGGACGTAGGACTAATACGCCCTTATGTCCGGACAAAACTGGGTCAGAATGACCCACTCAAGAGCAATGAGTGCTGCGCTATTTGGACAATACTCATTTATTTCTCTACGTGCAGGCTTGGGCCTGACTTAATGATAATGTAATCTTTATTTAATAACTTCCCTGTATTATGTATACTCAGAGAAATGGGAGAGCAATCGTCTAATTAGCAATAGGTACACGTTTTGTCTTGGGTGGGGCACACTGACCCACTTTAGCCCGGCAAAAAAGCGGATCAATTCTACGTATGTCATTATTTAGATAAAATAACACATTCGTTTTTAGAGTGTAAAACACATGTAATTGATGGTTGATGAAATGGTTGATGATATCTACATTCTACTGCCTTAAATGATTGACTATATATATATTTTACTGCCCTAAATGGTCGATTATATGTATATTTTACTACCACATTTACATGCATATACATATCATATGTCCAAGAATGTGCTCATTGGTAACGTATGTTACGACCATAGTATAGCTCCACATTATTGATATAGATACGATATAGTACAGATACGATATAACTGCCAGAGAAAAAATACGTCACTAATAAGTTTAAAATAATGCCTATTTGATTTAAAAAGACAGTTTAAGTCAATTAAGCTATTGAATCACCGATGAATCGATACCGAGGTATGTCCAACCAAATTATAATAAACGGCAAATTTGCCTGAAAACGAAGCAAATTTGAAAGTTAATTTACAATTTAAAAATAGTTCCAAATTTATGTGATTTCCTAGATGATAAGAACAACAATACGAGCAATGATATTGAGAAAATGTGTATAGAATGATCATTCGAGCTGTGCAATAAATATAATAGTGCGCACTGCAAGGCATGAATATTATAAGAAAAGGATCCCGAATTCTCCTAAATTATTGTTGTCAGTCAGAGTTTCTTTAGTATCCAGTCATCTGGCATTAAGATTTAGACGTGTGGTTCCGAGCTTTGATCCCTTGACTTGAACAAATAAAATTTCACCCACTTGTTGCCATCTATCCAAGTTTTCATTCAATTTGCTCACTGCTTCTGTCACCCCAATCAACCTTACAGTCCTCCCGCTCACTGGGTGAGTCACTTCGGCCTTTTAATTGTTTCAGTCATCCAGCTCACTTGTGGAGTCACCCCTCGCACAAATAAAGTCATTCTGCTCACTAGTTGAGTCACCACGGCCGTGTAATTGTTTCAGTCACCCATTGACTGTGCCATTCGCCCTACTGATGGCGGCGTGCTGGGCTGAGGTGGCGGCTCGGCTGCTGCCGGTGGTCAGCGCCCTGACGCGGCCCTGGGCGGTGGGGGGCGTGGGGCTGTCCTTCACAGTCCAGCTGTCCCAGGAAAGTTTCGATGGGGAGCAGGAGAAGATGTGGGCCGGCTCGCCTGTCGCCTGTGGTGGACAGTGTCGCCTGAACCCCGAATGTGGGGCCTTCGCTTTCAACGCAACTGAGGTAAACGCAACTTAAAGTGTTTTGTTATAAGTAGCTCGTGAAGTATAATTATCGATGTACTATAGTTTGATGTATCACGGTGATAATGTTACATATATACTTATAACCTGACACGGTAGAACCCGAATGAGGTTCAGTGACAAGCTAAAGTCTTGTAAATAAATTATGTCGTGATGCTGTCGCAATACTATGCTTGTATATATCGAGGATGTTGTATAATGCCAACTATATAGTATGAATTATTCTATGTAGTAAATATGTTCCATTAAAAAATGTGCTGGTTTTGCTGAAAATTTCCTGATGATATAATTTTTGAAGGTGTCTAACCAGGCCTACTGCGCTAGGGTCTAAGAACTTCATAAATTCTCCGAATAAAACCTATATAAAACCTATTCTCTTTCCTAAATATATTAGCATCTTTCTCTGGGTAAGTAGTAAGCTATATAGTATAAAATATATAAAATAAAATAATATAGTGCTATATTACTATATTCTTTAGTAGCAGTAAAATTCGTTTAATTTAGCAATCGGTATCCTGAAGGAGTCGAGGGATGTTAACTCGTCGTCTGGTGCGTAAGTTGAAAATGACAGACACATCAGGCAAATGACGTCTAAATAACGTTTATTATGCCTTGATTTCAAATAATAAACTTTTAATCAACGTTATTTCGACATATTGATGGATGTACTTGGAGTGTTCTTTCCCGCGTCCGATGAGTAAAGATGAGCAACATAATAACGGCAAATCAGCAATGGACTTATAAAATTCAAACCCTTAAATGTTTATATAAATAGATATATATAAATATATGTAATAAATGTTTCGTTAACTTCATTACCGGACTTGGTTTTTTCAAAAATTTACTCGAAGAATTTCAATAAAATACAGTACAGAAAGGTTGACAGTTCGAATTCAGCCAATTTTTGAAAATGTCCGATTTAAGATTCGTGTTTTAGTTTCTCCTTAAACGAACATATATTATTAGATCGCCTACACTTTATTGTGTGATGGCATATCAAGTGATGGTAATAACATTGATTTAGATATACCCTGATGGAGAAGGTAAAATATCCACTGATATCCTCTTCGCAGGACACGTTAGATATCCTCTGATATCCTCTCTACTGGGCATGTTGGATAACCAGTGAATTCCGTCCGCTGGACATGTTAGATGTCCACTGATTTCCTCATCAATGGACGGTTTAGGTATCCGCTGATATCCTCTCCTCTGGGCCCGTTAAATATCTGATATCCTCTCCACTGGGAAGGTTAAATATCCACTGATATGCTCTCTACTGGGCAGGTCCCAAACTGCGTGCTGTTCGTGCGGCAGACGCGTAGCTCGCCGGGTCTCCCGGGCCTCTACTACAGGGGCATGTCGTTGACCAACGGCGACTACCTCTTCCGTCTGCCTCCTCCTACTCCCATTGACAAATGCAGGTGAGCAGGAAGGATACAGATTCGCGGATTTCTATGGTGATCGTAAGGTATTGAATAACAAGGTATTTAGGCGTTAGATTACACTCATTATTACGGTGATCATATGTTGTGGGGTAACAAGGCAGTTCATCGAAAGATTAACTCGTTGTTATGATGATCGCAAGTTATGGGATGTCATGAGAGTTCGGCAAGGTATTGCACTCGCAATTACGGCGATGGTGAGTTATGGGATACCAAGAGAGTTCGACAGGAGATTGCACTCACTGATATGAGGATCGTGATCGGGTTAAGGAATACCACAAGTGTTCGGCAAGAGATTGCACTCACTTATACGGGGAACGTGAGTTTTGGGATACAAAGAGAGTTCGGGAATGTATTGCTTTGACTGATATGAGGCTCGCGAGTTATGGGATCGTTATGATACTGGGATCGTGAGTTGTGGTATACGAAGAAAGTTTGACAAAATATTGGGCTCACTGATACGGGGATCGTAAGGTATGTGATACCAAGGAAGTTCGCCAGGGAATTGTAACTCTTTGTTAAAGGAATCGCAAGAAAAAAGATGCCACCTTAGTCCAGGAGATAGGGACTTACGTCAAGGTGATCCTTATAGTTTTGGGGTACCCAGTGAGTGATTTAACAGGTTACGATTTGGTAGTAGACTATGCCATATAGAATCGTAATTAAGTATGACCTGCGGGTAGTTCGGTCGTAGCGGGATCCGAGGATATAGGGGAACAGCGTAAACGATTATATAATATACTTTTAGGATTATAGTTCGGCTTACAGTTTAGGATAATCAGATCATAAGTTGGAGCTTTAACACTGATGTCTTTGGCATCCAGTTGATGTATGGATAAGTCTAGAGTGTATCTTCTACTCTGACATTAATTTAGGGCTAATGTCCTAATGGATACGGACAAGACTAAGGGCTTACACACGACTGTTCTCGGCCCATGACTGAGGTTTCCTGGTCTGGCAGAGCTCATATAGCTTCGCTATTTGACGTCACCAAGGGCGTGACTTGATAAACAGGAAAGGCTAATACAAGGAAATGTTTATGAACATATCGAAGTGAAGGAGATTATCTTTCATCAAGGAAGATATTAATGAGGAAATGTCCACGGACAAATGGTATCAATATTGTCACCTGACAGTGATGGCGATTTCTCGTTCGAACACTCTGACCTCTAATGTCAAGTAATTCATCATGAATGATGTATGAATTACATTAATGACTTATCAAAAGACAAACTTCATAATAACGAAAAAGACTTGAATAATATAACACACACAAGAAATAAAGATGAACTCTACCATTTTCCAGCATGTCACTGGCCCTCTGTCAGGGACTGGGCCTGCGACTAGTGCAGGTGCAGCCTGTGCTCAAGGACCTGGTAGTTGTCCAGAGTCAGGGGAATGTCTGGTATGACCTCATGAGGGCTAACGAAAACGCCACCTTCACCACGTTGACAGGAGGGGCTGTCAACACCTCGATCTTCAAGATGGTTGATACCGACCGGTCCTACATGGCTCCTCAATGCATTGCTAGTAACTACTACTGGCCATACAGGGTGAACTGTACTAGTGAGTTCATATGGTCTAAAGCCACTGTCTGCCAGTACTCGCATCCCTAACGTTACTTCAAGTGTTCAGAAGAATTTGGTCTGGTCCACGCAGCCCTTCTTGATCAGAACTATGAGCTATTATATACCCAGAGAAATTGGTTCGGTGGTTTCATTGGTAACAGAATAAATTAGTTCCCCCCATGCACTTGTCTAATTTTAGATTGCACCGCAGTTTACTATCACTGATGCTCTACAAAAATTTAGTTCTAACGAAGTAACTCGTGATTTTCCGAGCTACATCTTGATTATTTATGCACACAGATTTTCTAATAACAATAATAATAATATCTAAGAATTTCACTGTATTTCACGTGTGTTGTAAGGCACAATCATATTGACCGAATATAGTAGGAAATATTACAATATAACTCGTTTACCTTGCCCCTAACTACCTCAATCTTGTGAGCGAAAAAAAAACTAAATTCATTCCTAATCACCAAATTAAATACGTAGCGGATGGGCCAGACTGAGTCAGGATGACCCATTAAAGGGCAAAAACTGCTTTGTTCTCTGAAAAAGAAGTCACTAATTTTCTGAGTGTATAAGAAATGTACGGCCATTTTCATTGTTTCTTTTTTACAACACTTCTCTTTAATTTCACTTCTTGTTGTTTGTCTGTCTGCTACAAATCTTATAATCGATATTTAACACACTTCTACTTGTCCAATCCATCTGAAATTTTTCATACTTGCGTAAAGTCAGAGACAATGCATGAATCAATTGACAAAATAAAAAAATTTGAAAATTACTTTTTTTTATATTCGAAAATAAAACTAGAAATTCATTGTACGTGTGTAACATCGAAGACACTAGATTCTTTAGTAGTGTTGTCTCTAAAAAGTAAATTATAAAACCCATATTATTTACCCTCAATATACAAGTGTTTATTGGAAAGTTGCTTGCATAATTGCCTTTTATATCAATAGGATTTCCAGTTATTAGAAAATTTCTAAAAGTATTTCCCCCGCTCCCGCCGCACTGGAGTCTTCGGCCACACGGTCGTTACCCTCTAGGCAAATTTTCTTGAAACAATGTTGATGACGAGTTGATTTCGTCGATACAATGTTTGATAAAGATTATAACAATGTTAGATGTCTGGTGGGAGCTATTAGGTACACAGGAAAATGATGTTGATCAACTTTGGTTAAAGAAGATAACAAAATAAGAGAATATATTGTTATGAGTGGTGCGAAGATTCAACAGGCTGGAAACGACGTCACAGAGTCGCACTTGGAATTGTGTCATATAGTCACAAATTATGATAGTTATCCCATACATTTGACCTAAGGCTTTGAGTGTTCAGGAGCCAGGTGTGGATGTTAGGCGATTTTAAATATTTTTCCAAGAATTAGGCATAGTTGTATTCGTAGTTTAGCAAGGCTCGATGAAGGATTAGAAGTTTCTGTAAATGGTCTCGCTATTGGACCAGAGACTCGCTAGCGAGCCAATCGTGCCTCCTACTTGCTGCTCGTGTGTATGTCGTGCCTCCTACTTGCTACTCGTGCGTGTAGTCCTAAATCTGTGGCATACCACGAGTCTACAACAGCTGTGTTCTGTCATGAGACTTGCAGTTTATTGTCGTTGTTTACAGGTTGACACGGTAATCTCTACCAAGAAAATCGCGATTAGAAAATGGGCCTGACAAATATTGTTTTATTCACAAATACAATGTATTAGATTCACAAATTCAAAGTTTAAATGGTTGTCGAGGTGCCACAATTTCGTGGTTCAATTTATAGATTCCCGAAGTCATACCTTCACGCTTGGCTTAAGAAGCCTTGAGTGCTCAGTACAGGAGGTCGATATGAGACCAGCCTTTACAAATGTTGAGACGATTAAATACGCGATGCTGAAAAGTAGTAAATCGTTCGTCACTTAGCTGTGCGATGCAAGTGACAGCAGTGTGATGCACGTCACTTGGCAGTGCGATGCACGTCACTTAGATTATCTCTGTTAAATTTTATGTTACTTTTAACATTTTCTAAACCATGTAGTAGCCAGTCATGTACAACTCAGGTAAGAATAGCATTACGATCAGTGGACCTCCGGGTCAGCATGAGCTGCAGAGCGTTAACTTATAGCAGTTGCGATTATTTCTTTTGACTTATCGCTGTCAAAATTACCTGATAAACGTTCACAAATGTTACGAAAATAAATATAATATTTTTGAATCTCATTACCTTTACTCCAAAAAGTTTATGTCGCCTCAGTATAATTCTTTTATCTATTAGATGCAGCTGCTTTTACATTTGCTTTTACAGCACCAACCGTGAGACGATTGATTGAAGCGCAGTTCAAGAATATTACTCCTTAACCTAAGTGCATTACCGCTGCATTAGTGGGGTTACAGGTCTATTTTATAATGGTATTCGTACCTAGTTCTAAGCTATCTCAGTTTAACCTCTCAAAAGAGTCGAAACTAACGCGTTTCGAAGATATTTTGGTGAGCTCCTACGTGGATTCCTCACCGCGCCTCACACCAAAAGAACCGCCTTGAATTTCCGTTAAAATCACAGCCCTTCGACACGCGAACGGTAAAACCTAATGGCTTGAGAGGTCGCACTTACGAGGCGAGTGCCACTCACACGCAGGGCTCCTGAGTGGAGGGAAGTCTACCCTCTTGGTTAGCTGAGCAGAGGGAAGTCTACCCTCTTAGTGTGCCGAGCAGACGGATGTCTACCCTCTTAGTGAGCCGAGCAGAGGGAAGTCTACCCTCTTAGTGAGCCGAGCAGAGGGAAGTCTACCCTCTTATTGAGCCGAGCAGAGGGACGTTACTGGCCGCTAGTGATTATCGTTCTAGTGGCCTCGTGTGAAGTGGTTTGGGGTGAATGATAGACTAGTTTTGGTGGCCTTTATTAATATCTCTTTAATATTATAACATCTAACCTAGCCACTGTACTGCAGGGATAGCGGCACAAAGATGAGAGGTAAACGAGACTTGGGAGGTTCAGTCCATATCTCGGTGAGGCTGGTGGGCGACGTTTGGTAGCCGTGGTGGTGCTTGCAACATAGCCTTGAGGTAGTGCCGCTAAACGAAGAAAGGGCACGGGTTAACTGGGGGTAAAATAAAAGTAGTTATCGTTCTAAAGGTAAAGTGTAGAACTATTCCGCATATGAGCGAGGTGGTTGAGAGGGTTAGATCAAAAGATTGTCGAAGCCAGTTCCGGGAACGAAACCCGAATAGTTAGATGTGCAATCGGCAACGGTACGAACAGGGCTTAAGGGGAGCGTCTGCCCCCAAAAATATCTGGGATATCAACAGACGGATCGATTCAAAATTTGGTACACGTATGTAACACGGAATTCTGTTTTTTTTTTTGTTCGTGTGAATTTTTCGAAAAATTGAAAGAAAACGTGAATTCATAGAAAACTGACAAAAAGGGGGTACTATAGAAATCTATCTCCTCCTAGGATTTCCAAGCTACAACATCGAGACACAGATCATTCTATGCGTAAAGACCATATCTACAACTGATGTAGAGGGTTTTTCGAATTTCTCATTTTTGTGAGTGTGGGAGCATTTTTTCCGAACTCTTTCGAAATTTTCCAATTTCACCCCTCCCCCGCCCCCTTTTTTTGCAAAATAAAATCCCAACTATAACGAACTTGGACAAAAGCTCCACATCAGTTGTAGATCTTTTCTTTGCGAATCGAACGGTATATCTCTCATTGTTGTAGCTTCAAAACTCTAGGAGGATATAGGTTTGCAGTGACAATAAGTTAACTTTTCAGTAGGGCCCGACAAAGTCGCGCGAGCCTCGAAAAAGACATTCAAGGGTGCAAGGTTGCAAGACTAGACGATATTTGAGCTCAATTTCTGTCAAGGATGGTGTGAACCACGGCACGAGAACCATCCCATACGACTGCAGACGGATAACTTAAGCACAGCGTGTTCAGACTAGCTATTTAAGTGTGCTACCGGTAATTTCGGCCTATATTTAATGTTGAAGAACTCCACCACCCCTAACCCTTTCGCGCTCTGTCGTAAACGCATAAATCAACGTACAGAGATGGTTTTGGTACCGTTAGATGCGTCAGACTGTAAGCTTTAAGATGAGTATAAAAACCGAAAAAGTCAAAATTTTCGATTTTGGGGCAGACGCTCCCCTTAATCTGACACCAGTATTTTGAATTATATATATTACATTGTAGTATACTTACTACTCCGTTAATTGTTTCAGTTAATCCACTCAAGGTATCAGCAAATCAGTTCACTAGTTCAGTTACCCCACTAATTGCTTCAGTCACGCCGCAATTCGGCGGATGGCTGCGCTGCGGGCGGCGGCTCGGCTGCTGGCGGTGGTCAGCGCCCTGACGCGGCCCTGGGCGGTGGGCGGCGTGGGGCTGTCCTTCACAGTCCAGCTGTCGCAGGAGAGTTTCAATGGGGAGCAGGAGAAGATGTGGGCCGGCTCGCCTGTCGCCTGTGCGGGACAGTGTCGCCTGAACCCCGAATGCGGGGCCTTCGCTTTCAACGCAACTGAGGTGCGTTCACCGTTAAAGATTGAATGTTCATGGGTAGTTACCGAGTTAAAATTCACCTGACATGGGATAGTGTAAGGAAAAATACCTGCTACGTGCGCACTCAAATTCTAATTAATTGAATTCAATTAAAATAAAGGAACACGCCGTCATTAACATACTTGCATGAAATACGCTGCTTTGAAAAAAATCAGTCGGTCATTTTAGTATGTGAAGTAAAAATAAATTTATCCTTCACTTGTCGCACCGTTCCTTCTATGTTACGCTTGATCTTGGTTTAATGACTCAGTGGTGAGGAACCGTACGGACCACTGCTTACTCATAGCGGTCTGCTGCCAAGGTTGCTGGCTGATTCTAATCACCATAGATCGCTTCATCATGCGCAAGCGTAAGGGTCGGCAACATGACTGCTTCAGCCTCATTTGACGGCTCCAAGTCAGCCCTTGAGCTGGCAAAGGCACTGCATCAGTTAACATCACCCGTGTGATGGCATGACAATTGTTAACACTAGCTCTGCCACCACCACCATT